CATTTTTTTGAAAGTTTGAAGACTTAGTTTGTGGCCTAAAATATGATCTTTTCTTGAAAAAAACTCATGCTGAGAAGAATGTGAATTCTAAAGTCATTAGATAAATGACTTTATGTTCTATAATATCTGTAAATAAGAATGTTCTATAAATTTCTATGAAGTCTATTTGGTCTATAGTGCAAATTAAGTCCAAAATTTCTTTGTTGATTTTCTGTCTGAATGATCTGTCCAATATTGAATCTGTGGTTCTGAAGTCTCCAACTATTATTATATTGGAGTCTCTCTCTTTATTGCTAATACTATTTGCTTTATTTATCTGAGTGCTTCAATGTTTGGTCCATATATATTTACAATTATTATATCCTCTTGCTGACTTCATTATTATACTGACCTTCTTTGTTTCTTTGTATAGGGTTTGTCTTGAAATCTGTTGTCTGAAATAAATATAGTTACTACTGCTCCACTTTCATTTCCATTGGCATTGGAAATCTTCTTCCACCTCTTTATTTGCAGTCCCTATGTGTCTTTGTACGAAATGTGTTTCTTGTAGCCAGCAGGACACTAGGTCTTGCTTTTTATCAGTTCAGCCATTTTATGTCTTTTTATTGTACAGTTTAGTCCATTTACACTGAATATTATGATTGATAAGTAAGAACTTACTCCTGTCATGTTATTTGTTTTCTAGGTGTTTTGTGTGGTTTTCTCTTCATTTTTTTTTCTTCCTTTTAGCAAAGGTGATTTTCTCTGGTGGTATGTTTCAATTTCTTACTTTTTATTTTCTTGTATCTGTTGTACACTTTTAGATTTGATTTAGGTTTGATTACCATAAGTCTTGCAAATATTGTGTTATAATACACTATTTTAAACTGATGACAACTTAACACTGATTTCATAAACAAACTAACCAAGAAGCAAAGAGAAAACTACCAAAAACTCTCCACTTTACCCTCACCCCCTCACTTCTTAAAGTTTCATTGTTAGGATTTATATCGCATTATACTGTCTATATCTTGAAAAGTTGTTGTAGTTACTTTAACAGGTTCATCTTTTAGTCTTTCTAATCAAGATATGAATATATTACAGACACAATTTCAGTGTTATAACATTTTTAATGAAATTAACAAGAATGTGCATTCTACTGTTTTTAGATGTGGTGTTTTATAAGTGTTCATGTGGTCAGGTTGTTTATAGTATTGTTTACATATTTACATCTTTACTGATTGTCATCTTGTTTTATCAGTTAAAAAGTCATGTTGAAGTCTCTAACTACAACTGGGAACTTTTTGTCTATATCTTCTTTCATGCTGTGAGTTCTTGGTGCAGACATGTTTACATTCTGTTGCTAAGTATACTAACATGTAATATTGTAAATGTCATCTTGGGAAATTGATCACGTTATTGCATAATGTCCATCTTTATCCATAATACTATTTCTTCTTCTGAAATCTACTTTGTATGACTTCAATAAAGCTACAATAGTTTCTTTTTAGTTTTTCTATAAAATATCTTTCTCCAACATTTTGCTCTCGCGGTGTCTTTATATTTTAAGTGAGGTTCTTTTTCTTTAGACAGCTTGTAATTAGGTCTTGATTTTTCCATCCAATCTGACAATCTCTGTTTTAAAATATGTTAAACATGTAAAAATGACAATTATCTCAGGATTGATTTGTAGACTCCACATAATAGCAGTCAAAATCTCATCAAGCTCTTTTTTAAAAAAATGATGAAAGATTTTACATTTTCTAGACAAATGCAAAGACATAGTATAGTCAAGGCAATTTGAAAAGGTACAAACTTAGCAGGCTTAAACTACTAAATATTAGGATGATTGATAAGCTATTAAATATAAGTTAATATGTTTTTGGTAAAAAATAGACAATTACAAAAATGTAATAGAGACTCCAAACACAAATCCACAGGTATACATATTTCTGGTTTGCGACATTATCTTCACTATAATTCATTGAGAGATTGGAAATAATCTTTTCTGCATATGTCAATGGGTCAGTTTGATTTCAACATAGACGAAAAAATGAAACCTTGAACCCTATCTTATCTACTACCACATAAAAAAGGTGATTCCAGGACTACAGTAGACACAAATATATAATGTAAAACATTATATAATGTATTTCTTTGACTTTTTAAACTGCTGTTGCTTTAAAGTTTGTTTTGTTTGAGATAAGAATAGCTACTTTTGCTCACTTTTGGTGACCATTTGCATGGAATATCTTTTTCGACCCCTTAACCTTAAGTTTATGTGAGCCCTCATGTGTTAGGTAAGTCATCTGAAAATAGCAGACACTTGGTTGGTGAACTCTTACCTATTCTCCCTTTCTGTATCTTTTAAGTGGAGCACTTAGGACAGGAAAACATCACAACTCTAAATATATATGCACTTAACACTGGAGATCCAAATTTTATAAGACAATTACTACTTGACCTAAGAAATGAGATAGCCACACAATGATAGTGGGGGACTTCAATACTTCACTGACAGTACTAGACAGGTCATCAAGACAGAAAGTCAACAAAGAAACAATGGATTTAACTATACACTGCAAGAAATAGACTTAATAAAATATATACAGAACATTCTCCCCAATAACTAAAGAATATACAGTCTATTCATCAGCACATGTGCTGATCCTATATGCATATCTGGCAGATATAAGAATATTTGTATAAGAAATCACATGACCAAGATTGATTACAGCAGCATTACACATAATAATCAATGAGTAGACACAACCCTAATGTCCATAAACAATAGAATGGATGGGTAAATCATGGTATATTTCTATAATGGACGACTTTAAAACAGTGTTTTTTGTTGTTGTTGTTGTTTTGTTTTTGAGACTGAGTTTCACTCTTGTTTCCCAGGCTGGAGTGCAATGGCACAATCTTGGTTCACTGCCACTTCTGCCTCCTGGGTTTAAGAGATTCTCCTGCCTCAGCTTCCCAAGTAGCTGGGATTACAGGCATGCACCACCACACCTGGCTAATTTTTGTATTTCTAGTAGAGACAGGTTTCACCATGTTGATCAGGCTGGTCTCGAGCTCCTGACCTCACATAATCCATCTGCCTCAGCCCCCCAAAGTGCTGGGACTACAGGCATGAGCCATCGTGCCCAGCCTAAAGCAGTGTTTTTTAAACATTAATTCACATATATGCTTATCATTTTAAAAATGAATATTTTGATTCAGTGGGTTCTGGGTCGGAACAAGATTCTATGTTTCTAACAAATTAAGGTGTAATGCTAATGCTATTCTTTCTCAGAGAACACATTGAAGACCATGGATATGAGGAAATAAAAAAGAACAAACAATTGCTATATTCAACAAAATGAATGGATATCATATACATAATGTGGAACGAAGGGGCAGGCATAGAAAAGTAAATACTGTGTGACTCCATTTATATAAGTTTTAAACATAGGCAAAATTTACCTCCAGTGGTAGCAATCAAAAGTGGTAACATTTGCAAGGCAGGTAATAACTGGCAGGAAAAATGAGAGGCTTATGGAGAACTAGTAATGTTCCATTTCCTGATTTTAGTAATTATGTGCATGTATTTAGACTTCATGTTAATACAATAAGCTGTAGAGTTTTGACTGTTAAACTATACATACATATAACATACATATATATATATAAAACATCATATATATATATAAAATCTATATACAGTTTACAAAGTAAATGTCAATATCTGTATGTGCTTAATCTGTTATTAGTTCCTATTTTCTGAAACTCAGATCTCCAAACTGCTTAATTTATTCCACATATAGGACCACTTATTTCTATAAAAAATGGAAAAAATCCTCTAATTATGCCAATCATATGTCATACACACACACACACACACACACACACACACACACACATACATATCATGGTATATTCAAAGGCATGGAGTATAGAAATACCTTAAGAAGTAAAAGATTAGGACAAAGATAGAGAATAGTACCATTATATGTATAGTAAATATTAGTAAAAAGTTAAGAATGACTTGCAATGACACCAAAAATAATAAAATACTCAGAATTATATCTTATTAAGGAAGTGTAAGATATTCATACTGAAAATTACAAAACTTTATTGAAAGAAATTAAAGAAGACCTCGATAAATATAAATATAAAGACATCCTATATAATCATGTTAAGATGGTAATACCTCCCAAAATAATCTGCAGATTTCATTAAAACCCTATCAAAATCCCAGTTGCCATTTATGCAGAATTGAGAGACTAATAATGAATTACATCTGGAATTGCAAGCAAATGACAAAAAATATTTTGAAAAAGAACAAAGTTGGAGAACTCAAGTTTTCCAATTTCCAAACTTACTACAAAATTACAGTAATCTAATAAGTGTGGTGTTGGCATAAGGATAGTCATTTAGATCAATGAAATAGAATTGAGAGTTTGGAAATAAACTCATAAATCTAGGTCAGTTGATTTTTGTCAGCAATACCAAGACAATTCAATGGAAAAAGAATAGTCATTTCAAAATTGGTACTGGAACAACTGGAAAATTACATGTGAAAGACTGAATTTTGGTATTTATCACACATCGTATGTACAAAAATGTCTCAAAATACATCAGACAAAAAATTCAGAATTAAAACTACAAAAGTCTTAGAAGTAAACTTAGGAGTAAATTGTCATAATTCTGGACTTGGCCAAGGATTCTTAGATATGAGACCAAAGCAGAGCAAAAAAGAAAAAGATTGTTAAATTAGACTTCATCAAAACTAAAAACTTTCATGGGTCAAAATTGGAGAGCTTACATTTTCAAATTTCAAAAGTTGCTACAAAGCTACAATAATCAAATAAGTGTGATGCTGGTATAAGAATAGTCATATAGATTAGTGGAATAGAATTGAGGGTTTGGAAATAAACTTGTGTGCGTAATGTGTAGTGTGTAGTGTGTGTATGTGTGTGTGTGTTTAGTATTCAAAATATACAAATACACTTAAAACTGAAAAACAAAAATACAAATAAGCCAAGTTAGAAATGGACAAAAGACTTAAATAGACATTTCACCAAAGAAGATATGCAAATGTCCATTAAGCACATGGAAAGAGGCTTAACATTATTAGTCATTAGGGAAGTACAAATCAATACTTCAATTAAAAATGACTTCATATCCCCTAGGATGGTTAAAATAAAAAGTCAGATATCAATAAGTGTTGGTGAGGATGTGAAGAAGTTGGAATCTGTATACACTGCTGGTCAGAATGTAAAACAGTCTAACCCCTGTGGAAAGCACTTTAATAGTGTATCAGAAGTTTAGACATAGAATTACATATGATTCAGCAAGTCCACTTCTAGCTAGGTACCCAAGATAGTTGATAACAGGTGTCTAAACAAAAATATTGTACACAAATATCCACAGCAAAAGTATTCACAATAGATAAAAAGTGGAAACAACCCAAATGTCTATTCATAAAGAAATGGGTAGACAAAATGTAACATTGCCACATAACAGAATATTATTCAGCAGTTAAAAAATTAAGTACTGATACATGCTACAACATGGATAAACCATGAAAACATGCTATTTTTAAAATGTCATACACAAACAGCCATATATGGTATAATTACATTTATATTAAGTTTCAAAAATGGGAATATACACACAGAGAGAAAGCAGATTATCAAATTTCCATGGGCGGGGGATAGGGAGATTGCAGAGTGACTGTTAACGGTTATGCGTTTCTTGTAGGAGTGAGGAAAATATTCTGGAATTAATTAATGGTGATGGTTGCTAAATATAGTAAATCTACAAAACAGCTAAATTGAACTCTATAAAATGATTAAAATGGTAAATGTTATGTCAGGTGAATTTCACCACAATAAAAATAATAATAATAAAATAGTGCATGGATGACTGACCAGAAAATGTAACACTGTAAAAGCACACTTTACCTCTTAAATAATTGTGAAAAAAATTCCTCAGGGGCTCAAAAGCGGTGTTCATATTTCATATTTGAGAATAATGAGATTCAATTCACAACAGCAGAAGGACTCCCAGTTTTTTAAGAATATTCTGATGAGACTCAATTCACTAACTCTAATAGGAAAAATGTATTATTACTCTGTTCAATTGCTAACACTGTGGTAGGCAATTTATAAAAGAACCAAGGGAGAGTTATTCCTCAAATTTTTGCAAATAGTTTAGGAAAAAAGATCTGTTGCAAATAGAATATTTAGGGTACAATAAAGGAATTTTGTCAAAATGAGAAGTATGTTTGTAATTTTAATGGTTGGAAGTTTAATTGGACAGCATATATGTTAGAATCAAAACTGAAACCAATCAAGAACAATTGAGTAAGCTTCATAGGATAGATAGGAATTGATATGGATCTTGGCGAAAAATAATTTGAATATGAAAGAAATAAAAATGTGCCTATATTAAAATTAACGCAGAAGGGATTTAAGATATTTAAAATAGAGGAAGGGATCTGACTGAGCACGAAGTCTTTTCCAAGGCACTGAGATGTAATTCACAATTAGATACTCAAGCAAAAATAGCAGCATTCACCAAACACCGAGGTAAGCATTATTATTATTATACAAAAAGCAAGCAAACAAACAAACTTTCTGAGTTATTCAGTAACTTGCCCTAAGATCATAAGACCAAATAGCAAGAAAGTCGGGGTTTTAACTTAGTTCAGTCATAAAGCTCATGGCATTATCAGACTGTCTTTAAATGGATGCATTAATTCGTTTCTTAATGCTATTTTGCCATAACTAAAAGAGGAAGCATAATTATGCCTACGCAACTCTCCGACTGAGAGACGTCTCAAGGTTATGTGCATACAGGCTCAAGTTAGCGCCGTGACTATCACAGTAATACCTTCCTACTTCACACGTGTGCATTCATCTCTATCTGTGTCATGTTTGTGCTTTGATGCCAAAGAGAGTTCAAGTCCTTTATGTCAGGTGGGAGAATCATTACATTCCAAACTGGCCAAATTGTGTTTCTAACATATTTTCTTTGCCATAAGCCAAAGGAACAATGTATTTTAACTAGATTTTTAACAGATTTTCAATTTTGTGCGAATATGTTTCAAGAGCTTCACCTTGATTGCCCAGATGGCAAACCTTAAGAAAGATATTCAGGATTTGAGGATTGAAATATAGTATAGTCACTGCTAAAATAATCAAAAATAATTCTAAAAATTGAAAATGTTACTTCTCTAATTCAGTTTAAATCTTTTCTGTAGCTGTCTGTGGACCTGATGCTTTCCTTCCTGGTGTGTAACACTGGCTAAGGAGAGTGGATCAGTATAGTAAGTACAGCTCATCAGATCTAGGAATATGTTTCAGAGAGAAGTCCATATAGTCACCCAAGAACGCACATCCTGGGACATCAAGCACATTAAAAGGAATCATGCAGTGTCCCCTCACTTCTCATTTTTCACACCAAAGCAAACTTTTATTTCAGATTTTTCAGTTCCTAAGGTGTATGTCTAGAACTAGGGCAATGAATGAAGAATTCTGAAATGGAGTTGGCCAGATTGACTTGCATGTTTTCAGACTTTTAATCAATGCTTTCATAGACTTAAGAGAAATGGTGGTGCAAAAGAATGATCAGACTCTTACTATGTTTGTATTCCATAACTTTTTGAGATTTTTACTTTCTTAGAACTAATTTTCATATCATTTATTTACTCCCACAATAATCCTCAGTAAAAATCACCAAATCTCAGTTTTATACATTAATAAACACTTATTTTTGCTAATCAGATGTGGGTTCTTCTGCTGATCTAGACTGGTGTTAGCGTGGCTTAATTATACTTCTGGGGTCAGCTGTGGCTCAGTTGCAGATTGGCTTTGATGCTCTTGGCTGGGTACTGTCAGAAGTTCAGGGTCTTTAAAAAATGCTTTAAAAAAAAAAGAAAAAGAAGTTCAAGGCCTCAGGTGAGACGCAGAGCTTACTTATTTGGCTCTGCTCCATGTCTTTTCTCTTTCAGCAATAGACTCCAGGCATGTTCTGTTGTTAAAGGGATCCAAGAGATAGCAGGAAAGTGCAAGCTCCTTTGAGAACTAATCTCAGAATTAGCACAGTGTCACTTCCACCATATTATTCTATTAGCCAAAGTAAGTTACAAGTTTAGCCCAAGTTCAAGGTGTAGTAAAACATCCTGCAGCTCCTCCGAAGGCTCTGCAAAGTCATATTATGAAGCTCAAGGAAATACAAAAAAAAAAAAAAAAAAAAAAAAAAAAAAGATTGTTTAGACCATTTTTATAATTAGGCTATCATCCCAGGAATAATGACAGAAATAGTAATAAAGAGTATGAGTTAGGCCAAGATGGCTGACCAGCAGTGACGTTCAGAGGCTCCCATCAGAAAAAAGCGCAATAAGTGAGTGAATCCTTCACTAGCAACCAAGGTGTCCAGGTTCTCCCATCAAAACTGATTAGAAGGCTGGCATGATCCACAGAGAGGGGTGGGGCGCGGTGGCTCACGCCTGTAATCCCAGCACTTTGGGAGGCCGAGGCGGGTGGATCACGAGGTCAAGAGATCAAGACCATCCTGGTCAACATGGTGAAACCCC